AAACGAAATCCTCCAGAGTTGAGATCACAGACGCACACACACACACACACACACACACACACACACACACACACACACACACACACACACACATAGATAAACACAGAAAGAGAAGCATCAGGATGTTACGCCGCTCACATTGATCATCTGTCTCTGAGCCATCAATCAGAGGAACGAAGGATGGAAGGATGGATGGAGGCCCAAGGTGGGCCGAGTGAAGGAGGTCTGGCTAAAAGGGGTCGGGGGTCACACACTAAAAGCCTACAGCCCCCCTCCCCTCTGATGTTTCCATTCCTCTAACACGTTGGGACTCGGCACGCGGCGCTGCAGACATCAGCAGCTGAGCGGAGGCTTCCTTTAGGATCGATAACGGCTACAGGAAATAAAAAAAAAACAGCTGGAGGTTTCCGTCCTTTGGCTCAAACCCGCGTTGGGTGCCGCAGCCTCGGAGCACGTGACCCGTTCATAAACGTGATGGTGCGTTTCCAACTGTGAGAGAAAATTAAAAGTGTTTACGAGCCAGCCTGGATTAAGACTGCTGAGGTGGTCAAACCGTGGTCACACTGAGCCGGACAACTGGGTCCTACCTTCAACTTTCTTCTGTTTACATTCAGCTTCTGCAGAAACATCACTTTTTATTCTTTGTTTAGTTTTAGAAAGACAAATTTCATTCAATCTAAACTAAAATGAAAATAAATTAAGGTTTTACAGAAAAAAAAACCATTTATTTTATCGAATTTATTTGCTGTAACGGTGAACGGTGCCAGGAGAGATAAAGGTTAAAAACTTGAAAATATTAAATTAAATCTAAAACATGAAGAAAAAACCTGAAAGAAGAAAACGTGGAGAAAAGAGGAGGTGAAGGGGAGGAAAAGTGATGCAGGTGGATCTGAGCGGGTGTGTAATGGTTGGAGTCGAGGGATGTATGGATGAAGTGGCAGATAGGGAGTGTGTGTGTGTGTGTGTGTGTGTGTGTGTGTGTGTGTGTGTTTTAGAGTGCATCTTAATCAGCGTTAATTTCACAGCAGAGTTAACCCAGTTGTCGGTGTGTTAGGCATTAAGAGCTGAGCAGACACTGTGACGCACTCACAATGAACACACACACAAATCAAGGATGTCTTTAATCCCTGCCAATTAGTACCCCACATGATCGTCTGAATACTAACAACCTGAGTGTGTGTGTGTGTGTGTGTGTGTTTGTGTAATTGATTTCTGTATCAATGCTTTGCTGCCACGTAAACACCAGCATCTCATAAAGTTCACTAAAATTATCCAAATTCTAAAACCTAAAATCAAATTAAATCTTTTTAAATTGTTTCTCAATAAAGTGATTTTCTAAAAGCAGTGTCTCACTGAGCAACTATTGGCAACAACGTTTGCACGGGAACTGAAGTGTTGCCAAACGTTGCAGAGGGTTCTGGGTGTTCTTGCACGTGGCGGCGCCTCGCTCTCGGGCCGCAGTGAGACCTTAGACCTCGTCTCAAATACAGCTTCATTTAGAGTTCTAGAGTTGGAGTGTGCAGGAAATTCAAGACAGCTTTTTGGGATTGTTTGGCAACTAAGTTGCATCAAACTGAGACATAATTAAGTTTGCAACAAATCCATTTTTGTGTAAAAAAAAAGTGTCCTAAGCAGCAGTTCTTTGTGATTCTAGGTGAAACGTTGTGTTTGCCTAAAAAACTCAGATCTGGTATTAGTTGCCAGGTGTTGCAGCTTAGTGAACTAAAGAAATAACATCCATCCATCCATCCATTCAAATATCCAAACATCCATCCATCCATCCAAACATCCATCCATCAATCCATCCATCCACCCATCCATCCAAATATCCAACCATCCATCCATCAATCCATCCATCCATCCATCCATCCATCCAAATATCCAAACATCCATCCATCAATCAATCCATCCATTCATCCATCCATCCATCCATCCAAATATCCAACCATCCATCCATCCATCCAAACATCCATCCATCAATCCATCCATCCACCCATCCATCCAAATATCCAACCATCCATCCATCAATCCATCCATCCATCCATCCATCCATCCAAATATCCAAACATCCATCCATCAATCAATCCATCCATTCATCCAT